ACGCAGAATTAGATGAGCTAGAGTAGTCAGACGCAAAAGCCGAGCAAAGCCGGGTATGCCAGCTAGTTTTGAATATTATTCGACTTTCGATGAACTAATCAGTTTGATGTGAGATTCCACCAAGTAGGATTTAGCTCAATCATTCAGATGTAAGCCTTATCACATCAACATATGGAGCTATTTGGGTAGATTTCTCATTCTATAGTTCCGTTATGCCAGAGAAGGTTCGTTCAACCTGAGGGATTGTAGTGATACTACAACCAGCAAGTTCTGCTCTTTACAGGTTATTGACATATCCGCGCTTTACCCGGAGAAAATTATTATCAAGGAATGTCATGGAAGAAAGGAAGAAGTAGTTTGGACATCGGAAGAAGTACCAAGAAAAAATGAAGAATTTTCAGGTCAATCGAGATGATTTGCTAAATGTAGACGACAAAAATTGGAACACCATAGTTTGCAGAAGATGTGGCGCGGTTATATTTCCAGAAGATCGTGTGAAGTATGTAGAAGGTGAAATTTTAAGATAGGGAATAAGAGAGGAATTTAACCCACCGAAATCAATTGTATTTCAGATTACACCGTTGAACTGCCGGAAATGATCCCAGGTGGTAGAGGATCAACAAACAAGGAGAGGATTTCATGGTGGTGGCATACAAAGAATGATAAGGACTTTGATACCATTGGTTTCTTTTGGGACGTAATCGATAACAAGATGGTTAATTTGATGGTAGCGGATATTTAGCATACCGTTGACTTTTTACTTACAGACGTTGCTTTGCGGCGATTGTGAATTTGGCCCGATAGGACTGCGCACAATGGACGACAAAGAGTTCTGGATTGCTGTTGAGCGAGTTCGTTACGAGGATAGACCCAGGAAAGATCCAAAGGCACGACCAAAAAAAGCCAAGAAACAAAAGTGACAAAACACAAGTGCGCTAAGATTGTAAAAAAGCAGAAGATGAAATGAACTTTAAAGTACAATGCAAAACTACTAACTCTTATATGTGCAAAAAATATTTGCCGTGCGCTCAAAAAAGTCAAAATACGATGACAAGAATTCGAAATATTAGGATTTCTCACCATTACTGCGAGAGTGGTAAATTTTAGTCCAAAACAGATTGAATTACTATATAACTTTAAACCATAATGAAACCACAACTAATATCGCATGCTTTTATCCTACCTGATGTGGTTAACCAACTGATGAGGGGATGTTATCGAGTGGGTGGAATCTTTATAATCCAATCTTTATTAGTGCAGTTTGAAAGGCTGATTTCAAACCTATAATGCGCACTGGGCAAATTCGCTCTGAAAGAAGTTGAAAAAGCTTTTTTTCCTGCTCTGCTGAGAATGGAGTGCATGCCCACTATCGCTCGAAAGCCATA